TGCTTGTACCCCTGGCACGCACCTGTCCCTGCAGGGGCCAGTCACTGCGCAGCGTGCAGACAACCATTAAGTGGGTGACCTGGCACGGGACGCTGGCTCTCTGTGGTCGCACCCTCCTGCCTTTCTGGTCACTGGTATGAGTCGGGGGTGAGGGGTCAAGGGGGAAAGCAGTGGGAGTTAGAGCGGCTATCCCGGCCTCTCCCTCTGGGTGGAGGTGAAGTCTCCTCACCCTGCTGGGACGTTTTCCTTCCCGGCTCACGGCCCTCTTACCTCTACATTTGCACCTCTCTTTGGTGGGGCACCCGTGGAAACTATCCTCCCCTGGGCCTCAGAAGGCTTGCGGCCCCCTTCCCTAGCGGCAGGGGAGAGTTTACATCCCTGTGGTGTCCGATGCTGGATCCTGGGGACCACCCACATTTACAGGTTTGGGGGAAGGGCCCATCGGACCAGAACCCTTCCAGAGCTCATGTGCGGCTCACAGAACACCCGAGCCCGCTGGGAGGAGATAAGGAACCAGATGAGCCTGCCAAGGTCTGACTGTCACTGAGATGGGAGGATAAATGGACGTGGCCACCCCCGCCTGTCTCCTGCGCATGTGCACCGCTGTCCTGGGCCTGGGTTGCTGCTGCACCGGGTGACTGTGCAGGGTTCTGTGTAACGTGGGTGTCTGTCGCCTGAAAGCCTCTGCAGACACGTTCTGCGTTCTGCTCAGCTTGACCCCACTTGCAAGGCAGGCTCGGGGGAACTGCTGGGGGTTCTGTGAAGCAGTCCCTCTTGGGTCTTTCCTGAGTCGCCCCGGGTTTTCAGAGCCACAGCTACTCCTGGCACGTGGGTGAGGCGTGGCATCTGGGGACGGCCCTACCCGACCAGACTTCCGGGTCTCCTCGCCCATGTCAGCCTTTCACCACCCGTATTCGAGGACAGAGATCATGTGGCAGGGGAGGAGCCACTGTTGGGACCTGTGTGTCACATCTCTGTGGTCAGCGCCTCGGGGTGGAGATCAAGGTTGGGAGATCCCCATCCTGCCAGCCTCTGTCACTCATAGAACATGCTCCTTGCAGCTCCCAAGAGAGAGAGAAAAAGAGACAGAGAGAGAGAGACAGAGAGAGAGACAGAGGAGGGGAGAGAGGGGGACAGACAGGGAGGGAGACAGAGGTGGTCCCTCTGCTTCAGAGGGTAGCCCAGGAGCCAAGGGGACAGCTGGTACCTGATTCCAGGCAGAAGCAGAACTCCAGGGGGCCCACGGCCACAGAGGTGTTGCAGAGAATGGCGAAGCTGGTCAGAACCGTGCCCTCCTCTGGGAAGATGGCACAGGTGGGCACCTCAAGGGGCGGCAGTGTGCTGATCACATAGGTGTCCTCCCCATACATGTGCCTGGTCAGTGCTATGAGGGAAGACAGAGCATGCTCAGGGGGCTGTGTGGGTCACCCGACTCCCTCGTGCCTCAGGATTGCCCGGAGGGCGCTGGGAATGAAATGCACAGATTCCGGGTCCCTCTCCAGACCTCGCCGGGGATTCCCTCAGGCCCCCCAGATACTCATAGCTCACGGCTCCCCTGAGGCAGGGAGCCCGGGGTCTCACTTGGAGAAGCTGGTCACAGGTAGAGCAAGAGAACCAGACAGTTCTGCCTTGGATTTGACCTCTGTGAAATGGGGCCCATAATAATAACAGCTTCCTCATGGAGCGTTTGTGAGGAGGACGCATACTGGGCAATACTGTTTTACTGAAAGTCACTGAGCTAGAAAGAGCCAAAGCCAGGATCTGGAAGCAGGTGGATCCATCTCACCCTGAAGCCCACCCTTCCAGGTACCCCAGCCTGGGAGGAGCCCTCAGGTGACACGCAACAACATCCCACATACCTGCTACAGTCTCTCAGTTTTTTTGTTTTGTTTTGTTTTGTTTTTTTTTTTGTTTTTCTCCGGTACCGGGAACTGAACTCACGACCTTGCACTTGCCAGGCAGGCGCTTTTGCCGCTGAGCTAAATCCCCAGCCCGTCTCTCAGTTTTTATTCTTTAAGCTTATGCACCCAAGATCTAGGAAAGGGAGTTTTGTTTTTTTTTTTTCTGGAGACAGGGTCCTGATATGTAGTTCAGACTTTGTTGAGATCCTCCTGCCTCAGTCTCCTGAGTGCAGGGATTACAGGCAAGCACCATCACACCCAGCAAGAATTTTAATCAATTACAACAATTCCTTTACCTAAACTCAGTTCAGAAGGCATGGGGTGGACCTGGGAGTGTCCACTTAGCCAGTCCCCAGTTTATCCTGCTGTGGGTGTCAATGGGCTACTGTAGGAAATACAGGCTCTAAGGAATTCTTCCTAAAAAGGATAAGTGCCTGACTCTTCATTTTTGAAAATCTGCATTTCCCACACTGGGCTTGTTTTATACGAGAGGCCTGGATTCTCCTAACAGGGTGGGCGGTTGTGTGACCTGTGTTCTGTTTTTTTTTTTTCCGGTACCAGGAATCGAACTCAAGACCTCACGCTTGCCAGGCAGGCACTGTGCCACTGAGCTAAATCCCCAGCCTTGGTTGTGTGACCTGTGCATGACCTGCCTGTCTCACCGAATCCTGTCACCCTCCTGCGTGATCACCATTCTGAGGCAGGCACATCATCATCCCCACGTGGGGAAACTGAGGCATGGTAGAAGGCTTCCAAGTGGAAAGCTGTGGTAGTTTCACTCCAGGGCCTGTGCCCTGCCCCGTGCTACACCAAAGCCCATTTTGCCTCTCTAGGTTTACCTTGGTTCCCTGCGGGGTTGGGTGGCTTCTCACCTGTGGCTCGGATCCTGATCACCTGGCCCCAGGAGCGCAGGGAGCGGCTGTCCAGCAGCAGTGTGGAGGCGTTACTCTGCAGGAGGACTGGGGACCTCGGCCAAAACCCCGGGAGGCCGCAGGCGGTCGGGAGGGGCTCGGCCTGAAAGAGGCTGGGGTCCGCCCACTGGCCTCGGCAGGACAGTGGCTTCTGACCCCCACGTGGCCTGGCAGATTTATGTCCAGTGAACGGACAGCGGGCCCCACCGGCTTTGCTGGATATCAGGGCAAACAGCCCGGTTCCAGCTGTCTGTCTGAGGGCAGGGTCGCTGCGGGTGGAGCCTGAGGTGCGGCTGTGCATGCAAGTCACTTATAGCAACAGCACACAGGGGACCGCAGGGCAGGGAGGGAGCAGCCAGGTAGAGGCGGGATGGAAGGGGGAAGCAGACTCGGAAGCGGAAGGTGCTCTGCAGACACTGCCTTCCTCGGGAAGGGCGCAACCTGTTAGGTCCCCACACCCACCCGCCACACACAGAGCTGCAGATGGCTCAGCCCGAAGGAGGCCTTGGCTGGGATCATGAGTCCCCACAGCTCTTGGTCTTCTGGGCCCAGTCACCCTGCTGCAAATTCCCTCCTTTCTCCTCACGGCGCTCCCCGACCCCGCCAACCCTGATGCACGGGCTCTGAGTGAGACTGACTGCTGTTCTGGCCCTCAGTACAGGTCTGGTCCACCAAAGGGCCATTTCCGTTCCCAGGGGTCGTCAGCGTCTCACCTGCTCTGCAGAGGGATGGTCTAAGTACCAGCTGAACACGGCGGCCGGGGCATCGCCTCCCAGGGTGACTCTGAGGAGAACGTCCGCATCGGCATTCACTGGTCGGCAGTTCTGCTCACAGCTGAGAGGGAGACAGGACGGGAGGGGGACGCTCCCTCAGGCACTGCGACCCTCAGCCTGGTCTCTTGCCCCGTTCTTTTCAAGTCCTTAGAGAGGGTGGGAAGTGTCCTTTTGGCAAACGCAGGATGGAATAAAAGTGACCACTGCTGCACCCAAACCGGGACACGGCCTTGCAGACAGAGGTGGGTGGTGGTGCGCTGCCCGCTTCCCGCCCATCCCCTGCACAGGGCCGTGACGCGGACAGGGGAGGCGGAGCAGACAGGACCCGGCCAGATCCCGTCCCTGCCATCTGGGGACGATCCCCTTGTGGGAGTCACGCAAACTCTCGGAGCCTCACATTCCTCAACGGCACCCTCTAATTCTCGTCAGCTCTAGTAACAGCAGGGCTGCGGTTTCACGGCACGTGTGCCTGGCATGATCTCATCCACGGGTATCAGTGCGTGCGAGGCCTGCAGCAGCCCTGCCTGTGAGGCGTCAGGACCCCAGAGCACACGGGGGCAGCTCAGACTCAGACAGCTTGTGTGACTTGTCCCAGTGACGCACTCCTAAGTGGGTGAATGGAACATGGATCTTTGTGCCTGGATCTGAGTCCTGGGCTTTCTGGGTGACGTTCTACTCCCTCCTGGACCCCTAGGAGGTCACTCTGGCATCTGCTGTGTTCGACCCATCCCCTGGTCTCTTCTGCCTCAACTTCGTAAGTTCTCGACTCCGACTTGTCTTCACACCCGTCCTAAGACAGCGTGCGAGGTGGGCTCCACCGGCCCCGCCATGCTGCTGCCCAGCTCTCCATGGCTGTGGCCTGCAGACTGACCTCTGCAGACAGCAACACCCCTGCTCCTGCGCCCTCCACCTCTCCTTGGCCCAGCCAGCGGGAAGGCTGGGAGAGGTCGGAGGCTGCGAGGAGAGAGCGCACGTTGTCACCTCCAGCCCTGCTCCTTCCCCTGGGAGGCTGCAGTTGGCAGCGGCCAGGACCAGGGCTCCCGCTGGGAGGTTCCTTCCCTCCGCTGCAGCTTGCAGGGGCTTCCGGTCATGGCACCCCACCTCCATCCTTGGGGTCCTTGGAGCCATGGCTTCCTGTCCTGCATCATCACCGGGCTCGTTCCCTTAGACCTGTCCACACCCCGAAATGGAACCTTCATTTCCTGTCTGCGGTCAGTTCCCGTTGGAGGGAGCCAGCGCTGCCCGCAGGGCCCCGGCTGACGGTCCAAGCTACTTCCTGCTCTTCCCTTGCCTCCTGCAAGAGTCTCAGCCTGAGTCCTCTCTTGCCCTCCTGAGGCCCTTCTAGCAGAGTTTTGAAGCAAGACATGACCATGTCCCGTCGACTGAGCCTCTTCGGCGGCTCTCTATAGCATCCTCAGGGAAAGGGCCTGAACCCGACGTGACAGCAAGGCCCGGCCTGAGCCAGGCCCTCCTGGCTCCGGCGCCTTCTTGCCCCTGCCTCTCCACTGGTCTCGTGAATGCTGGTTATTCTCTGCTCTCTCCCTTTCACTCTCTGCTCTCCCTGGATCCCCGCTTTCTCCTAGCGCCTCCTGCTCATCTCTGTTGAGCCCCAACCCCCACAAGGCCTTTTTGACCCCTGGAGGGGGAGTTGTCACAGACCTCCCTTCCCGCCTGCCTGCCTGCCTGCGTGCTGACCCCTGTGGACCCCGGGGAGTAACCCCAGGGGAACAGAGTGGCTGGCGCTCAGTACCAGCCCTGCAGGAACAGGTCCACACGCCCACCTGACCCGAGGCCTGAGGTCCAAGGGGGCGGACACGTAGAGGCACCGCTCTGCCTCGATCTCCAGCTCCTGGCCCCTCAGGACGGCCAGACGCAGGGTGACAGCGGAGTCCGGCGGTGGCAGGCAGGGCGGCGGGACCACCAGCTCCCGCTGGTCTGTGCGGAGGAGCCGCCTCTGCACGCAGTCGCTCCACTGAGGCCAGCAGCGCCCTGAGAGAAACAGGAGAGCTGTCACTCCTCAGGAACCGTGAACCAAGCTGGCGCTCTCGGCTCCCTTCTGGCTTGAGGGCTTTGGAAGAAAAGGGTCAGGATTAACAACACCAGCTCCACAGATTTCGATTTTGGGGGGTGCCAGAAATCGAGCTCAGGACCTCACGCTTTCCAGGCAGGTGCTGCTCCACTGAGCTAAAGCCCCTGCGGAGATTTTGCTTTTTAAGGAAAGAAAACAGAAGTCACTTGTGGGCTGTGAAGAGAGTGCGGCAGGGGCTTGGGGAGGGGACCCCCACTGCGCAGACTCGGTGCGGGCCTGCAGGGAACCTCGCTGATCTGCACCCGGGGCTTTCACCGATGCTGAGGCAGGCGCGTGGGAGAGGCCAGGGCACCTGTGTTCTCGGGATGGCCCAGCAGCCTCTGCAAGACCGTCCTCCTGCTCCTTCTCCAGCCTCCTCCACTCCCGTCCTCACCTGTGGCTGCGCTCTGGGTACAGCTGGGTGAGGCGGAGCTCGCAGTGGCCACAAAGCCGCCACTCCCCAGAGAGGAGGCCATGCACAGCTCCCTGTCCCCGTGCCTGCTCCGGGCACCTGGGGCCTGCACCTCCTGCTCCGGGCAGCTGGGTCTTTGCCTGCCTTAAGTTGGCAACTCAGGAAGTTTCAACTCGGGAAGTTTCAACTCTGTTGACTGAGGCTTGTCTGTCTACACCTCTCTCTCCACCCGCACCATGATGCTCGAGGATCCCAAGATCCCCCGGGGTGGGATTCACGCTCCGCTTAGTGACCTAAGTTACCCCTGTTCCCTCTGTATTCCCATGATGAGAACCAAGATTCAGAAAGACGTCATGGCCATGTAGCAACTGATATCAAAAACCTTGCCCTGTTGCATGACTTCCGCCCAGTTATTCCAGCTTTAGAAATTTAGTTAAGAAAGCAACCACAGGTGTAAACAAAGACACAACTACAAAGATCGTGGAGGCAGTGTTGTTTACAATGACAAAACAATGAGGAACAACCTGAATGTCCACAAAGATGGCTCTGGTGAATGAATGGTCGTAGAGCAACTTGACAGTCTATTGTACAATCAAGACAGATTATTAGACGCCAGGACTATAAAGTGTGCAGGATATGTTCCAGGAAGCAAAGGGTAACAAAAGCAATGTGGACAGTATGTGTGACACTCACTTTATCTCTAAGAGAGTGTATACATAGCTAGGAGATAGCCCTGTGAGAAGGAGTCACCCGTTTCTAAAACCTGGGACCCCCATGTTGGTTTGTCAAAAAGTGCCCAAGTCCTGCTCCCTCTAGGCTCTCCCCAGTGACATACCCAAGAGCGAAGAGAAATAGGGGAAGGAATATTTCATCACTGATCTCTCACATTGTTTGGAATTGCAATTGATTAGATAATACAAAAAAGCAGACTGGCTTGTTAGGTCTTATTATTTATTTATTTTGGTTTTTTGAGATAGAGTCTCACTATGTAGTTCAGGCTAACTTTGAACCACAGCAATCCTCCTGCCTCACCCTCCTAAATGCTGGGATTACAGATGTGAGCCACTAAGCCTGGCTTTCAGGCATGTTATTGTCTTTAATTCTTTATATCCACTGTCACCTGCCTTCAGGGCCACCTCCTTCCCTCCTCCTCCCCACCTCCCATTTTATGGAATTTCCAATCCCCGGCACACACGAGCTCCCCGGAATGTCAGGCAGAAGTAGCGCCTGTGTGATGAGGCAGGAAAAGAGCAGCAAAGCCTGACCGCTCTTCCTCACTTCTTAGTGCAAAAGGACCAGCCCAGAGCACTCACACCACCTACCACAGGACCAGTGGAAGCGCAAGTCCTTGTCGCCGTCTGGCCAGCCCAGCGTGACAGTAGTGAAAGGATCCACGTACAGACCAGGCTCAGCGTACAGCTCCACGCTCCCCTTGTCTCCCTGCAGAGGAAGCAGCTGCTGGTGAGCGGCCCGTGTCAGCGGCCTCACTGAGCGGATCTGTGCTATCCCACGAGTCACCTAGAGCAGCCATGGTGTGAGGCTTGGGATCGCCGGCTGAGCCCCGGGTTCTCCTTATGGAGGTGGAGTTGTCCCTCCCTCTGGATCCCCAGGGACAGGGCTTTCTGCCAAGGGCGGGCTCAGGGCCCACTGTGCACACAGCTGTGCTGACTGAGGCTGCGCTGGGCCAGGCCCTGTCCTTCCTGTCTGGAGATGGAACGAGACCCAGCCCTTGCCCGGAAGTTAGGTGGGAAAGAGGCACATAAACCGACAGTGAAAACTCAGAGCGGTGACCTGGTAGAGGGCAGCCCGGGCAGTCGTGAGAACGTGGGAGAGGGAGGCGGGAGGTGAGGCCCAGCCAAAGCTCAGAGGGTGGCCTCAGCCCGTGTCTAAGTCCCTGAGCGCCTGCACCTCCGGGGGTTTCATTGCATCCGACTGCCAGGGTTACTGTGGGTCCTGTCTGCAAGCGCCATGTCTGGCCCAGACAAGATATGAACAGCTGCTCCGCTGTGACCCAGACAGCGTGGCCAGGGACGTGTCCCTGGAGTATAGGCTCCTGGAACGTCCCAGAGGAGGAAAGCACGGAAAGCTTGAGGTTCTGGGAAAGGGGTGGGCAGGCTCCGGATCTGGATCGGAGCGAGCTCTGGTGGGACCTGTCCAACAGCTCTCACAGCCTCTTGCTCAGGCCTAGAGCACCCGGCCCAGAACAGCACAAGCTCCAGACAGAGGAACACAAGCCCCAGGGCTTCCGGTTGGAGCCCACGCTCCGGCCTGGGCACCCAGGGCCTATCCGAGGCCTCTCCTCTCTGTCACCTCACCCGTTAGACACATCCTAACTCTTCACTTCTTAATTCTAGTTTGTCAGCCTCCCTTAGCAAGCTTCGCGGAGGCAGGGCCCACATCGATTCACAGCTGTCTCCCAGCCCCGGATACCTGCCTTCCAACACTGCAGGTGGGCCTGTAGTCTTTGCTTTTCCATAAACATGTGCTGAGCAATGCCAAAGCAAGAAGCTGAAGACTTAGTCTTGCTACAGAAACTAATGGCATGTGCTTGTTTTCTTTTTGGTGTCATGTTTTATTTTTATTTTTGCATTTTTGGTTTTTTTTGTCTTTTTAAGACAGGGTCTCACTATGCAGTTCAGGCTGGCCTTGAGCTCACTTTGTTCCCAGCCTGGTCTAGAACTCACAAGGATCCTCCTGCCTCAGCCTCCCAAATACTGGAATTACAGGCATGTGCCACTGCACCTGGCTTTTATTTTTATTTATAAAAATTTAATTTCTGTATTTTTTGAGACAGGTCTCCCTATATAGTTCAGGCTGGTCTTGAACTCTCTAAGTAATCCAGGATGGTCTTGAACTCATGGCTATCCTCCTGACAGAACCTCCTGAGTGCTAGGATCAAAGGTGTGCACCACCAGGTCTGGCTTTGTTTGCTAAAATAAGCATTAAAAGTATAGATCTAAGTACCGTGTTAACTGTATCCCATGAATTTAGATGTATTACATTATCATTATCAATCAATTAGAAATATTTTCTAATTTCCTTTGTGATTTCTTCTTTGACCCATTCATTTATATAGAAGTGTGTTGTTTAATTTCTAGGCTCTCCAGGAGATACTTACATCTCCTAAGTGCTTATTATTGACTTACAGCATAATTCTAGTGGTTAGAGGACATGGTTTGTTTGATTTCATTCTTTCTGGGCCCCTTTTGAAATGGAAAAGCGATCCTTAGTGCTTTGATTATTGAGACCAACAGAAGAAAACTCAAAGCTGAAACACAGCCCTTGGACATCGGTGCCTTGCAAGGTTGTTTTTAAAGACACTCACATTCTTTCCTTCCGCATTCGCTCCAGATGGTTCTCGGAGACCTGTGAACACAGCGGGACTAGGTGTCAAGCTACGGTGGGAACCTCATAACAGGTTGTTAAAAGACAGCCGGATGGGCGCGCTGGCTGGTGCCATAGTCCCAGCCGCTCGGGAGGCTGTGGCGGTTGGTCCTGATTGCTGACTTGATGAGATCAGAGACACCTCGAGGGGTGAGGCTCACCCACTGACTAGGCCGCGGTGGAATGGCGTGGGGCCTCATTAGAAAAACTGGGTCACTGAGGCAGAAGCTTGGGAACCATACCGGCCCCTGGCTCCTTGCTCTGTAGCTCTTCCCTGTGCCCTGGCTCAGGGGAACATGGCGAACATTCGGGTGATGGAAAGCCAGCTCACAAGCAAAACCATCACGTCTGGGCTATCGATGCCTCTTTGGTAGTTAAGGAGAGGCAGCTGCCAGTGCAGATAAAGCACAGGCTTTAGAGTCCGCCGAGAGCGTCTCTGTGCTGTGAATGACCGACTGCCCTCTGATGGGCCAGGCGGAGGCCCGGTTTGTAGCACGTGTTTATTCCCCAAATACCCCGGCCAGCGTGGAGCTCACGCTACCAACCCAGCATCACCGAAAGTAGAGTGAGGAGGGCAAGCTGCGAGGAGGCGGGCGCAGCACACCGGCTGTGTCCACAGCCTCAGTGCTTCCTCAGGCAGTGCCGGCCTGGGCAGCTTACTCCTCCGGAGCCTGAGTTTCCTCCTCCACAGGTGAGACTGAAGGCAGCTGCAGGAGCACCCAGCACTGTGCTGTTTACCCTGCTGCTTCACAAACTTGACTTCTGTCAAGAGCACTAGTAGCCAGGCATGGTGGCATATGCACTTGGGAGGCTGAGGCAGGAGGATTGCTGTGAGTTCGAGGCCAGTCTGGGCTACATAGTGAGACCTTGTCTCAAAAAAACAAAACAAAACAAACAAGGATATATATAGAGCTAGTGTGCCACACTTAAAAAACAGGAAAAATGCATTCAATTAACATGTTCTGGAGATAGTAAAATGTTATTATTAATGTCTAGCAATAAAGGCTGGTGATAAGATAGAACTTAAGATTTCCATGGGGTTTTCCAGGCTCTAATGATTTGGGTATCTTAAGAGATACACTTGAAAAGATACAAGGGCTGGGGATTTAGCTCAGCGGCAAAAGTGCCTGCCTGGCAAGCGCAAGGTCCTGAGTTTGGTTCCCGGTACCGGAGAAAAACCAAAAAAAAAAAAAAAAAAAAAAAGAAAAGATACAGCAGGTGCTCACTGAATGGTGGGAAGGTGAAAGTTTCAGGTGCTGCATGGACCGAGCGAGCCACGAGGGGACAGTTGTCATGACGACACCATAACCACGCCTTCAGTGAATTCTCATTCACATAAATTTGAAGGCTTGTAAAATCATACAAGGCAAGAGTAGGACATGCATGTCCGTAATCTCAGCACTCAGGAGGCTGAGGCAGGAGGATGCTAGGCTAAGCTACAAAGTGAGTTCAAGGCCAGCCTAAACTGCATAGCGAGACCCTGTCTCAAAACAAAATAAGGCAATGCTGAGATGCCAGCTAGAGGGCTCTCTCAACTTTAAGAAGGAACACAGTTCACTAATCAGAGAAATATTTGCTGCCTCTGCTCCTACCACAAATTACCGCCAGGACTTCTGCAAAGTTACTTAAATTCTCTGGGCCTCAAATCCCACCCATGGGAAGGAGGGCCGTGGGCAGCAGAGGGGACATGTGACGGCGCTTCCCCGTGCAGGCATCCACGCCCCGAGCTCTGGTCCATCTCCTGGGACAGCACCTCCCCGCTCCTCTCTGCCCTGGTTGGGGTGGAGCTCAGCCTTCACCACGCTCTGGGTGCGCCTGTGACCCTGGGCCGCCCAGTCAGAGTGCCAGGTGCCCCTGGTCTCGGCAGCTGGCCTGGAGCGAACACGGGGAATGCAAACTGAACCAGGATCAGCCCGAGGAGCCTCGGGACCTGTGCTGCAGGTACCCGGTGAGGCTGCTCTCTCTCCTCTGGGGACCAGGAGCAGAGCCTGGGGCTGCCTTGCCCCCACTGGGGAAGACAGAATCGGGGGAAGCCAACGTAGAAGCAGGGGTGAAAAGGCTCTGCTTCCTGAAGACGCTGGTGATGGACCCACGTGTGCTTAGGGCAGACCTGTCCCCTGGACTTTCCGTTCTGTGATCTGCTGAGGTCAAGCCCGTGTGAGCTGCTTTCCCGTCCCTCGCCGCTCAGAGCCCCGCAAAGACACTCCAGGTGAACTTGGAGTCCTGCGATGGCCGCTGCGGCTCAGTCAACTTCCGGCATCCACCTTCCCTGGGCAGCCAGGGCCCACCTCGCCCATAGCGCCCGGAAAGCTGCACAGCTGCCTTCCCAGCATCCCTTGTGGCTGGGCACAGAGCCTTCCCTGGCCAGAAGGAAAGACTGGCCCCGAGGAAGCAGGGCACAGAAGGCAGCGTGCCCGGCTGACACGCGGCATCTGGAACTGCAGCTGCCATCTTGACCCACACGGGACAAAGACTATGGACCAAGCCAAAGCTCCAGGGTGACACGGCAGAGACAGATCGATCCTGGGTCCCTGCTGGCATTGCCAACCCATTAAATCAACCCTGGAGCTGCTTATTGCCTCGCTTCTTATTATGTGACTGAAGAAAGCTCTGAACTTCAAGACACTTAGGTTGGACTTCTATTCCATGCCTCACGGAACATCATAACGAGTACAAACTCCCCTGCCTCCGAATTCCAGGTCAGTGGTTGATTTTTGTTTTTTTTTTGAGTCAGGGTCTCACTATGTAGTTCAGGCTAGCCTGGAGTTCACTATGTAGCCCAGGCTGGCCTCGAGCTCACAGGGATCCTCCTGCCTCAGCCTCCTGAGTGCTGGGATTACAGGTGTGTGCTACCACACCCAGCCAGTGGTTGAATGTTTTACTGTATAGTTAGTTGTCCCTCGGTATCTGCAGGGAATTGGTTGCAGGACCCCCCACCCCAGCACTCTGGCAGGCTGAGGCAGGAGGATCCCAACTTCAAGTCTAGGTTGGACAATTTAGGAATTTAGCAAGACCCTATGTTCAATAAAATTAATTTTAAAAAAGGGCTGGGGTGTAGTTCAATGAGAAGACCCTTGGTTCAATCTCCAGTACTGCAAGAATAGAAAGCAAGCAACCAAGCAAGAAAGAAAGACTCATAGATACCCAAATCCAAGTTGCTGAAGTCCCTCATACAAAATGGAGTAATATTTTGCATATAATATAACTTACCTTTCTTTCTTTCTTTCTTTCTTTCTTTCTTTCTTTCTTTCTTTCTTTCTTTCTTTCTTTCTTTCTTTCTCTCTCTCTCTCTCTCTTTCCCTCCCTTCCTTCCTTCTCTCTCTCCCTCCCTTCCTTTCTCTCTCTCTTTCTGCAGTGCTAGGGATGGAATGCAGGGCCTCTCAAAAGCTCAACTTTTTTATTATTCATTAAGCTTATTGATATATTTTAGATCTACATATTGATATACTTTAAATCATTTCTAGATTATTTAAGATACCCAAATAATGTAAATGCTACGTAAACAGTTGTTATTCTCTATGTGTAGGGAACAATGACAAGAAAAGGAGTCCATGCATGCTCAGTACGGCTGCAACATTTTTCTAACGTTTTTGGTCACTGTCCGAGAATTCTGACTATGTGCAGCATGCCGTACACATTTGCTACCCTGCGTGGGGGGCCCGCGGGAGGCCCCGAGCAGTGCCCCGGGCCCTGGCAGCAGGGACGCCTTGCCTGTGACTGTGACGCTTCCCAGCTCCAAGCTCAGGTTCGAGAAGGCGTTGCTCACCCGCACGGTGACCACAAAGGTGCCTGCAGCGCAAAGGGAAAAGGTGTGGTTACGGTGTCGTCATGACAACTGTCCTCTCGTGGCTGGCCCGGCCCATACAGCACCTGAAACTTTCACCCTCCCACCATTCAGTGAGCACCTGCTGTATACCAGGCACAGGGCAGGTCCTGGGGCAGCAGAAGTGGCATCCCTGTCCTCAAAGCCTTGGTGTCGGGGAGACTCGTGGACAGAAAGTGCCAAGCCATGGCTGAAGCTAGCAGGGGGCACTGTGGGGGTGGCACATGGTCACCTCAATGTCAGGAGGGAAAGAAATGGCTCATGGGACGGAACCAGGGCTGGAGCTGAAGGTGGAAGGATGAGCAGGTGCCATGGGAGGCACTGCCCTGGCCGGGAGCCATGGTGCAGCAGGGGCCTAGGAGCTCCTACCAGAGGTGCCCAGGCTGGCACCTCCACAAGCAAATGCCTCTAACCTGGACCCGTCCATTCCTGCCTCCCCCTCCCCACGCTTGCCCCAGAGGGGCCCAATGTGCTGGTTGTAGGGGGAGAAGGAGTCTGTGACTCGCCTGAGAGTGAGGACAAAAGTCCCGGAACAGGCAGCGCTTCTGTCCCTCACTAAGGTCTAAGCTTCCCCCACCGGTAACTTCCATGGGAGCCACGGGGACAGAGCCTGGGTGGGTCACAGCCTCCGTGCTATGTTCCAGCTCCTGCAAATTGGATTCTGCAGCTCCAAGCCGGACCTTTGGTAGTTGGCAAAGTTCCAGTGGTTTTCTCCAGCTTAGCGTCCCTGCGCTGTCTCTTGCCTGGCCCCTGGCTGAGTATCACCCCATTCCCGGCACAGCTCTGAGATCAGCGGGAGCCGCAGGGAGGCTCCTGGGGGCGCAGGGAGGCTCCTGGGGGCGCGGGGACTCACCACTTCCGGTCCACTGAGCTCCTCGCCCCGCCCTCCAGGGCAGCCAGCTCCCTCCGGACTGAATGCAGATGTGTGCTGCCCTCCCCTGTGGAGCCCGCCCACCTGTCCTCAGCCAGCACCACCCCAGCTCTCCCTCTCCCTGCCCTCTCTCCCCACCTTCCAGTTTTGCCGATCCCGCCCACCCAGGGACTGCACTGTAGCTTCCCATACCATACCTTCCCCTGGGGATGTTGGAGGAGATCTGAATACAACGCTCCTTTGCAGAGGTTAGTGGAAGTATGGCTGTGTTTCAGGGAACCTTTGGCAGTGTCTGGAGACATTTCTGGCCGTTGTGACCCGGGGCACTGGTAATACCAGCATCTGCCGCTAGAAGCCAGCGATGAGGCTGAGTACCATGCAACGCACAGGACAGTCGCTGACTGTGACCAAGGGTGTCCAGCACCACACGTCAAAAGTGCCGCAGCTGAGAAGCCCTGCGGCTTGGTGACCCTACGTGGAGACCCAGGGCACCCTGGCGGGACCCAGGGCACCAATCAGAAAGGGAAGAGGAGGGAGGTTTGCAAGGGCAGCTATAAACCCCAAGTACCTTCGACGGGAACTGCCACCCGGTAAGTCCCAGATGGCTCCCCGAAGCTCTCTTCTTCTTGGGAGAAGTTGGCATTGAGACCGGTCACCTCAAAGGTCAGCCTCTCCAGAGTGCCGTGAGCCACGGAGACGTTGAGCAGCAGGTCCTGTCCACGCTCCACGCGGGTGGAAGCCCAGGAGGCCTGCAGCCCCGACAGCAGCTCCACGAGCTGCACTGTGAGGTCCCGGGACAGCGCGGAGGCGGAGCTGTCACTTTGGGCACGGATCTCCAGGAGGTGCCGCCCAGGGCCCAGCAGGTGCTGGGTGTCTCCATCCAGGGTCAGGTTGTAGGGCGGCGAGCCCCGCTGGGTGGGAGACTCAAGCAGGGTTGTGTTACCCAAGAGCACAGCGTAGATCACCCCTGCCCCTAGATGGGCTAAGAAACATTGAAGCACATTGTGACAGTCGTGCAGCTGGTTGTTCTGTGATGGTTCAGACTCAAGTTCTGATGTCAGATAGACATCAATATAAATATAAAGAAACGTGGAAGGGTAGATCACCACCCCTGGGTTAACACTGACAATCCCTGAGTTCTGGGTTGAGAAGTGATATTTTCTCACTTTGTGTCCTCTCTGCTCATTTACATATTCTATTTATTTACATCTACTATGCATGTGTCAACCCCTTGGTCCTAGCAGCTTTTGGTGTGTGTGTGTGTGTGTGTGTGTGTGTGTGTGTGCGTGTGTGTGTGTTTCCCACACTGGAACTAAACCCAGGCCCTTTGCACAGAGCTGCATCCCTAGCCCTTTATTTTGCTTTTTTCTTTTTTTAATTTTGAGACTGAGTCTCACTAAGTCACTAAATTGCCCAGGGTGGGCTAGAACTTGTGATCCTCAGCCTCAGCCTCCGCCTCCTCGAGTTCTGGGCTTATAGGTGCACCTAGAAGTTTTTGACAGAAAACCCTGGAGCCTTTTGCTGATAGTGATATCCTTGTGGGAGGACGCGGAGGAAGCAGAGGGCCGTGAGAGGTGGGCCGGTTCGTACGCATGAACAGCAGCCGCCGGGTTGTTCTGGGCAGGAGCTGGGCATTTCCTTCCGCCTCCCCCGCTGACTGCCTGCACCTGCCCGCGAGGAAGTCCGCCTGGGCTCCATGGGGGAGGCTCACTTACAGTCTGCGGACGGGTGTCCTAATGGGATGCTGACACTGTGGTTACCTCTGAGCCTGAGTTACACCAACAGGTTAGGATTCTTTCCTACAGAGGCCAAGCTGCTGTTTTATTTGATAATGACTGGTGGTGGTGGTAATGGTAACATAAGCCCCGGGAGAGAGGGACCCCTACCTTTCACGTTTACTGTTGCGTGCCCTGCACCTTGCAAAGAGTTGGCGCTCAGTTATATTCATAGAATGAGTGAATGCAGGAAGGGTTATTTGAAGTTTTCCCAAGTACATGTCTCAGCCAACTTCCGCCAACAAGCCCACAGCAGCAGAGAGGACTCCCACGAGCCCGTGTCAAAGCCCACTCTAATGCCATCATGTTAGTGCAAGAGCAGGACTCCAGGGGGTGAGTGAGGGCCAACTGCGTCATGTCCTCACTTCCACAACCCTGAGCTGCCCTGGTTACATCAACAGGCCCCACCGAGGCTCAGACTGGACCTGTGCCTCCTGAAAAGATGCCGCCTGGGCCAATGTCGTGTCGTAGACTAAAGGTTCTCTATCAGGAGGAGGGGTGATATTTAAAATAGCACCTGAAACTGAGAGAGCACCAACCAATTAGAACGGATCTCTGAGGGACCAGATGGACACTGCAGCCAATCAAAATGAATTCTATGACAAATTAGTATGGATGCCATGACCAATCAGAATAGACACACTGGCCAATCAAAACAGATACAATAACCGATCAGAATGCCTCTGTGACCAATTAGAAATGACACTGTGACCAATCAGAATAGACCCTAGCCATGACCACTGGTATGGCAGAACCAGTGTGTACAGCTGAACAGTAGCCCTGACTGAGGGCAACATGGCTGTACCAAGCTGGTGTATGTCCCCCAGATCCTACCTCACCCTGTTCACATTCCCCCAACAGGAAGTAGTGCGGAAGTTCTTGAGATCGGACTATGAGCATCCAAAGTAGGGCTGGGAAGTGTGGGAACTGCCATCGGCTTACTGGCCTTGTGACTTAGGGGATGCTTCTGGACCTTTCCGAGCCACCATTTCTTTATCAATAACATGGAGACAGCGCTAGCATGTACGGAGTGGGCCAGCATGGGAAGTGCACTTAGGATAGTGTGTGGCACACAGAGGTGCTAAAGTAATGATAGATAAGAAACCAACTGGGGCTGAGGGAGGTGATGCTCACCTGTCATCTCAGAGCTTGGGAGGCTGAGGCGGGATGATCACCATGAGTTCAGGCCAGCCTGGGCTACATACTGAGTTGGAGGCCAGCCTGAACTACATAGTGAGCCTTTGTCTCAAATGAAAGGAAACCAAAAATAACTAACTCCATACATGATCAGTGTTATTATTAAATCTTGGACGTTAGCTGGATAGATTTTAGGACATCAAGGATTCCACAGTTTGCCTCCACTTGCTGGCTTCTGCAGACTCACCTGCATTGAGCTCCACCTGGATCCACAGAGGGTCCCCGAAGACAGCCCTGCAGAGAAGGCCAGCTCCTGAGCCGGACAGGCTGGGGCACCCAGTGACACGCAGCCTCTCCGTTGAGTCTTGCACAGTCACTTGCTGCTGAGCTGTCACGTGCCACTCGCTGGTTGTGCACTCAGCAAACACGGAGAACTCTCCCGGGGACGTGAACTGGTGGCTCACGGTGCTGGACAAGCTGCCGCCACAGGCAGAGTCATTAGCAGCGCCGGGACCCCGACACGTGTTCACACACCCATTCACACAAGCATTCACGCCTCCTCTACTCTGCAAAGGTGAGAGATGAAGAGAAGAGGCTGCCTGCCCGTGCCTGGCTCTCAGCACTAGGAGAGCTTCTGCTGCAATGTCTCAGGGCAGAAAAGGGGTAGAAAGTCCTCTGGGCCTTCCTGCTCATCTGTAAGATGGAATCAGGTACTAGACATACCAAAGTTTAAAAAAAAACTTTTTTTTGTTTTTTTGAGACAGGGTCTCACTATGTATTCCAGGCTGGCCTTAAATTCATGGTGATCCTCCTGCCTCAGCCTTCCCAGCGCTGGCATTACAAGTGTGCACCACCACACCCAGCTTTTTTTTTTTTTTATGTCTTTTTGAGACAGGGTCTCGCTGTGCAGTTCAGGCCAGCCTTGAGCTCACTTTCCCAGGCTGGTCTCAAACTCACAATGATCCTCCTGCCTCAGCCTCCCGAGTGTTGGGATTACAGGTATGCGCCACCACGCCCGGCTTATTTTGTTTTATAATCTCCTTTATTTCTTAGCTTTGACCCAAGGGTAGCCTAAATCATGATATGTTCAGTGGGTAAAGATAGTAAAAACACCAGGAGAAAACCCATCTGTGCAGGCACACAATGGGACCCAGGAGCCTGAGAGGACAGGGGAAGGCTCCAGTTTGGCTTCGTTTCTCTCGTTCCTCTCCTGGCCTGACCCAGGCTTTCCCTTCTCCCAGAGATGCGCTGGAGGAGAGGGTGATGCAGACACCTCCATACTCAAGAGAGAGCACATCATTCTGTCTAGTGAAGGGAGAAAGAGGGACTCTTGTTGGAAAATGCAGAGAAGAATGCTGTAGACTAGGAGATTCTCTGTGAATCAGTGCAAACCACGAGCTCCTCCCCGAGCACATACATGCAGCACAGACCCACAGGAACAGCTCAGGCTTCAGGGGCTGAGCTACAGCGCCCGAGCTTTGTGAACCTGGGCCACAGCCCAAGTGTTGCATAGGTGGTGATATCTGCTCTGAAAACCAATCTGACATGGAAGGCAAGTCAGACGTCTCCTTTGAACCTACCTGGCTTGCCACCCGTTCATGCAAATATGTTTAAAAATCAGACCTAGAATCTTAGAACATACTATTAAAATCACTGAGAATGCTGGGCATGTTGGCACACATCTGTAATCCCAGCATTCAGGAGGTTGAGGCAAGTAGGATTGCTGTGAGCTCGGGATCAGCCTGGGCTACATAGTGAACTGAAGGCCAGCCTGAACTGCGTAGTGAGACCCTGTCTCACAAAGACCAAAAAAAAAAAAAAAAAAAAAATCACTGAGAATACAGTCTGAAATTACTTGACACACTGACACCAGGAAAGAGTGATCAGATTTCAAGGGAACACGTACAAATAGATGGTCAGCCCTGAGATGATGAGATGTTGACATCATCATCAGAAGACTGTAAAGTAATTGTTATAAGATACTGTCAACTTGATTGAGAAACTTCCCAGGAGAGTTGTAATTCTGGGATGTGTCTGTGGATGATTGACAGGTAGACCAGCAAACTAAGGAGGGACAGCCTACCCCAGATAAGGGTGACACCAGCCAACAGGCTTGTAGCTTTGACAGAATGAAAAAGGAAAGAGGAAGGAAGTGTTTTCCTTGTTTGGAGGAGCTCTGCTCCTGGCATTGCCTTTGCACAATGGTCTGCAGCTCCTTCAGCTTTTTAGTGCAAACTCTTTGGTATTCCAACATAGATTCTTCAGCCTTCTGACACAGACTCCCACCAGTGGCTCTTCTAGGTCTTCAACCTTCCATTGCTACTGGATCGTCTGGCTCTCCAGGGCAGACAGCTATTATGGTTTCTTCCACCTCTGATCCTGCAGTGGCCGTTGAGATTCTCTTGCCTCTGAGCATGTAAGCCTATCTAATGAGTCCGTTGGTATAAATATACACATATTTTATATTGATTCTATTTTTCTATAGAACCCTATCTATTACAATGAGATAAAGGAAAACCCTTACAAAATGAGTGATAAGACAGGCATTTTCATCAGATAAACAGAAACTATAAAAAAGATCCAGAGGGAATTTTTAGAAATGAAAAACAGAATAACTGAAATAAAAATTTAAGTAGATGGGTTCAACATCAGAATAGAGACGAAATAGGGAAAAGTCAGTGAATCTGAAGATAAACCAAAAAAAAAAAAAAATCCTACCTACACGACAGAAAAAAATTTTTAAATGATAAAGGGTGTCAGTTAACTGTACAGGAAAAAAAAAAATCAAAAGATCTATTCTTTCTGTCATTGGAGCCCCAAAGAGGGACAAAAGATTTGGGTAGGAAAATGTGATTTGAACATTTCTTCAAATGGGAGGAAATTTTCCAAGCTTGATAAAAGATACATTTACAGATTTAAGAAGTTCAGTGAACCCAAAACAAGGAAAAAAATTAAAGAAACTGTATAATAATCAAACTGCTGAAAACACAAAGTAAGGGGAAAAAAACCTTGAAAGTCGCCAGATACTCCTCATCCCTAAAAAAAGATAGGTTACAGTAATTTGAATGACTTTAGATTTCCCATAAGAAGCCATGCAGGTTGGAAGCAGTGAAACAACATTCTTAAACAACTGAAAGAATAGAACTGTCAACACAGAATTCTAGATCCACCAGAAAATATCTTCTAGGAATTAAGGCAAAAGTGAGATATTCTTAGGAAAAAAAAAAAAAAAAAGATATTCTCAGGATAACTAAGACAATTTGTTGCTAGAAAATATATGGGGGGGGGAATAAAACTAATGGAAGTTTTTCATATGAAAGGAAGTAATAGCAGAGGTATCTGGAACTTCAGCAATGAAGAAAGAGCACCAGAAACGGTAAATATCTGGGTAAATGTTTAGACTATTTTTCTCTCACAAATTCTTTGAAGCACATGGCTATTGAGAAGCATTTGCAGAATACAAACAGATAAAAATTATAAAGGAGGGGTGGACAGAAGGGCCTATATGTTGGTAAAGCTTTATTATTTTACCTGAAGTGGGAAAAAGTAAACTGTGTAAGTTGTGAAAGAGTAGGTATATATGAATATTCTAAACCCTGAGCAACCACTACAGAGTAATGCAAAGCTAGCCAAAAGCCAATGGATAAGTTAGGATGAAATGCTAAAAATGTTCAAATAACCCAAAACAAGTGAGGAGAGGGGAGCAGAAGAAAAGCTAACAGAGGGAGCAAACAAAAAGAATAAAAATAATCTATATTAGCCATTACATTCATTTTTTTTGTCTTTTTGAGACAGGGTTTCACTATGCAGTTCAGGTTGGTCTTGAACTCACTTTATAGCCCAAGCTGATCTAGAACTACAGCATTTCTCATGCCTCAACCTCCCAAGTGCTCAGATTATAGACTTGTGCCCCCACATCTGGCCTTATATTAATTGTTTATGTCTAAACTCATCAATGATTATGTCAACTTAATCTTAACCAAGACTCAACTGTATACTGCCTTTGAGAAATCCACTTTAAGGATAACGACATAGCTAGATTAAAATAAAAGGATGCAAGGCATAGCAACAAACATTTAAACAATGTCAAAAATGCAAATTTAAGAACAAGAAAATGGTAACTCTCTATGGAAATAAAAGAATATTTTGAATAGTAAAAGCCAGTGTGTCTTTCAGTGATGTCTCTGGAAGAAACAGTTTGTTTCATTCTCAAATTCTGATGTCAACCAAAATTGCCCAGGACTACAAGGCAGAGAAATGAATCTTTCCTGATTTCTCTCCCTGAGATCTCACCCAAAGGATGGGCCTGAAAAGTGGTTTTAGTGCATTTTTTTGCCGGGGGGGGGGGTACCAGGAATCGAACTCAGGACCTTGCACTTGCCAGGCAGGCGCTTGTGCTGCTGAGTCACATCCCTGGCCAGCAAAGTGGTTTTAGAAACGGCTGCCAGGACAAGGGAGAGGTGCTCAGAATATGAAGAGGTAGATACAACTTTAAAAATCACACTATGAATTCATGACCCAGTGTTATGGTTTATATCTGGATTTCCCCCCAAAGCCTCATGCAGTCATGGGGGGTAGGCTTTTCAGAGGCGGCTGAATCTACAGAATCCAATACTGGGATTAAGGGTGTGACTGCTACACCTGTCCTAGGGCGGGTAGCCTGCCTACAATATAAGGGACTGAATGAGGACTGTCCCTGCCCCCCTTGTTGCTTTTGCTGTCTTTTGCTGCCGTGAACTGTTGCCCCTTTGCCATGTGCCACCCTGAGCCAGCTGATTATGGTCTCAAACCTCTGCAAACAGTGAGATAAATAAACCTTTCCTCCCTTAACTTTGGGCATCAGGTATTTTATCTCAGCAATGAAAAAAGTAACTAAGACACCCAGAAATCTCTGTCTTACATATACATCTGATAGGAACATATACATTTATGTACCAAGACATACTAGAATGTTTGTGGCAGCACAGTTTGTTGTAGCCAAAAATAAGACACTATCCAAATGCTTATCAACTGTATTAGTCAGCTTTCCCCTTGCTGAGACACAGCACCTGACATCTGCAACTTAAAGGAGGAGAGATTTGGTTTAGTTCACGGTTTCAGAAGATTCAGTCCATGGTAAGCTGGCTCCATGGCAGGAACATCATGGTGGAAGGGTGTGGGGGAGCAAAGCTGCTTGGTTCATGGTGGCAGGAAGCAGATCAGGGCAACAGTGCCAGAGAGGAAGAGGCTACGGACTACACACAGTCCCCAACGCCACACCTACACGACCCCATAGACACACCCAGGGTGTGTTTTGCTCCTCTACCAGGCTTTTCTTAATCCTGTGAAGCTGACCAGTCATGATTAATGGTCTCATTGACACTAGTATGGATAAGTAAATTGATGTTCATTCACAAACTGGAATGTTATGCAGCAGTGAGAAAAATAAATCATAATTACACACAGTATCCATAAGTCCCCAAAGTAATGTGGAGTAGAAGCCTGGCACAAAGCATATATACTTTATGATGCCATTTGCATAAGGCACAAACACAGGTCACAGGTGCCTGTGATGCTAGGAAATTAGGATAGTGCGTATCCATGTGGTGGGAGGTTAGGAGACTGAGAGGGGTTTCGGGGAAGTTGGGTATGTTTGTATGTATATTTTCTCTCTCTCTCTCTCTCTCTCTCTCTCTCTCTCTCTCTCTCTCTCCTCTTTCTCTCTCTTTCTTTCTTTCTTTCTTTCTTTCTTTCTTTCTTTCTTTCTTTCTTTCTTCTTTCCTCTATCTTTCTTTCTTTATTTCTTGGCCAGCATGTTTGTTTCTTGATTGGGGTATTGGATGCATGTGCGTGTTCAGTGCATAAAAATGAATCAAGCTGTTTCTCTTTATGCATTTTTCTGTACATACATTATACTTCAATGAAGTTGAAAAATTAGTCAAAAACTCCATCACTCCCTGGTTTGTCTTCACTGCTGGGATATTTGCCTTTAATGGGATGCGGCTTTTCTTTGAGATGAAAGTGGAGAAGAAAGCTCACATTTCTGGCCAGGCATGGTGGTGCAGGCCTGTAATCCCAGCACTCAGGAGGCTGAGGCAGGAGGATTGCTGTGAGCTCAAGGCCAGCCTGGGCTACATAGTGAAACTTTCTCCCAAAAAACAAAAAAAAAAAAACAAACAAAAAAAAAGAAAGCTCACATGCTCTTTGCTCACTGTTTCCGACTGTCAGACATCGCAGTCTGTGTCATTTGGCTGTGCCACTGACAAGGCGTCAGCCAGGTTGGTGGGCAAAGCCGTCTGACAAGTCGGGTACCGTGGTAGAGGGAAACGGTGGGCGACCCACAGTGTGCCGTCCTAGGGCCACCAGTTACCCACACGGCCTCAGCTCGGCTCCGGAGCCTCCACTCACTGGTCCGCAGAATGAGGGCAGACCGGACTCAGCTGGATTGTTTAAAGGTTTAAAGGAGAAAAAGACCAAAAAGTACCCAGTGTATAATAAACCCAAACATTGTTGCTTTCTGTGCAACAGGGTACCACTGTGTGCCACCTCACCTACTAAGGAAAAAGCTCTCTACACTTTTAGGTAACAATACAATAGTAAGGACTATCCTTTTTTTTTTTTTTTTTTTAAGATAGGGCTTCACTATGCAATTCAGGCTGGCCTCAAACACACAGCGATCCTCCTGCCTCAGCCTCCCCCCGAGTGCTGGGATTACACCACACCCGGCAGAACTGTCCATTTTTAAGAATCAGCTCTGCTAGTTGTTTTCTTCCTTATAGCCTTGTATCCTCCTTAAAATTATTCCGTGAGTACTAGCAACACTGGTCATACTTAGCTATACGGATCGCACAATTCCCAGGCCTAAAACTTCTCCCTTTCTCGTTGGTAGTGGATGCTGCAGTGTGATGCGATACCAGACGCCACCCTCCCAGACCAAGGCGCGCGTTCCGCGTCCGCAGGAAGCCCCTTAGTTGCCGGGCGCTGCCTCACGCAAGGTGACCCTCCTCCCGGGACACTGCAGCCAAGACCATGCAAGGTCCTGTGCCCCCCGCGGCGGCCTCCGCCACGGCCTCGGCTGCTGTGAATCCCGCTTTGCCTTCTGTGAATCCCGCTTTGCCTTCTCTCTCCTCCATCTTACTCCGCAGCTCCAGCACGCCAGCTGTCCTGCTTTCCGCTGCATCCGCTGCTCCTGCCTTGTAATTGTGGTCCCTCCCTCTGCCCCTCCCACAGGACTTCGGCCTGGGAGTCCATTCTGATGTCACCCTCCATCTCCCTCCTTTGTGCCTCCCAGCAGCTTGTGAGCGCCTAGGTCGCTCTAAGGCTTGCGCTGCGCTGTGACAGCTGGAGGGCAGAAGGGCGTCCCAAGTCCTGACCTCCGGGACAGCCGCGCCCCAGGCTGCGCTGGACAGAAAACGAGGTCCATTCCCAGATCTACCAGTAGGTGGCGCCTAGTTACTCAAATTGTCCCAGAGGTTCCTTTTCCAACAGAAAAACAAGGCAGCCCACTGCGCAAATGCACAGCGGGCAAAGAGAATGAATGCAAGGCGAGAATCCTCTGACTTGGATCAGGATGCTCTTGAGCTTGGAGTCTGCTCCTCAGCTCACGGATGTACTGACAATGGATTTTTTTTGTTTGTTTGTTTGTTTTGAGACCCTTGCTATGCAGTTCAGGTTGGCCTTGAACTTACTGTGTAGCCCAGGCTGGCCACAGCGATCCTCCTGCCTCAGCCTCCTGAGTGCAGGATTACAGGCGTGTACCCCCACACCCAGCAGGAGTGTCAATTTTAAAATCTCTAGCCCTTTGACCAACAAGGAGTTAAGCAGAAATAGGAGTCTGTACACACACGAAAAGCACCGCGATACTTGCTTCCATGTACTCAGAAGTCATTCCCTACATTGTAGCTGGAGTGCGGGGGCTGCCAGCGCCGGTAAGGAAGCAGCGGGAACACAGCTCCCAAGGTCCAGCAAAGTGACCAAGAAGCCAGGTGCATGGCTTCAAGGTCCAACGAACCTTTAAAGTAGAAACTGGATGACTGGGGTGGGAGATGGTGGAGGATGTGCACTATCTTTTAAAAGAGAAAAACAAACAGTAGTGGCTTTTGCTCAGGGCAAACATGCAGAAATAGCAAATGTAAGCAAGTGTAAAGCGTCGCTGATTGTTTCTTTCCGAGTTTAATCACATAGAAAATTCCAGAGTGTAATATGACACGTAGCCCATCTAGAATGGACATATTTAGCTTTTCTTCCCAGCAGCTTCCATTTTAAAGCATGGTTTATTTATCAGTGTAAAGCCCTCTGGTAATGAAAGGTCTTAGGCTACAGTCAATTTCTTTCTTTTTTTTTTTTTTTTCCCAGTACTGGGAATCGAACTCACGACCTCGTGCTTGCCAGGCAAGCGCTGTGCTGCTGAGCTAAATCCCCAGCCACCTGCACAATTTTGATTATGCCCAACTCAAGTAGAATAAAATGGTGTGTGCTTGTGTGTGTGTGTGTGTTGTGTGACTTAGCACCCACTGATGTCGCAGTAAAATGGTAGCAAACAAAAGTCCCACAGAAAGTGTCACGTGCATTTGGATCACTTGATACTCCCCTCCAAAGCGTCATCACATTCTACTCCATGAAACTGAAAACTGTCAGGGCAGCCACCAGTGTCAGTGACAGAGGAGGACACAGAAACCCAGCCAGGCCAGGGGCTGCCGCAGGGTCTCGGTCCCACAGCAGCAGCTGGGGCAGGTATCATGAGCTGTTTGGTATCTGTTTGGTATCATGAGCTGGGCAATTATTCTCTTGTTTTTACAGACAAAGCAGTTGAGCTCAGAGAGGTACAGCAGCATTGCCCGAGGCACACAGCTAGGCGGTGGCAGATGGTGATGCAAACAGGACTGTCTGGCATTGAAGCTCAGGCCCCGGGGCTCAGGTGACAGCACCACACTGCACAGGTGGCCTGCTGGCCCTGTACCTCGTGCCTGCCAGGATGCAGAGTTACTCCCTCACTGTGATGAGAAGAAGCTAACCCTGATTAATAACAGTATCTTGATCTCACTGCTAGGAACCCTCTGCCCCTGGCCAGCCGTGGGTAGAAAGGGCACATGCCCCACACTGCCATCCAGCAGACCACTGGGCATGGGACTCAGTGTGGTCTTCTATGGCCAGCCCACACCAGCAGAGTCTTCCCACACAGGAAAAGCCACTCACACTCCCCTAAACTGTGAGAAATAAGAAATATTATTTAAGCCACTACATTGTGGGATGGTTTGTTATGCAGCAAAACTGACGGATACAACCTGATGTAAGGTTCAGAGACTCCACTTACCTGGAGGGGTAGTAGGGATCAAGGGTGTGGCCATCTCCCATATTAAGGATGCAGGACAGGTTTCCAACATAGGGAGAAAGCAGCCACGTCAGAGAGATGGTGACATTGTCAAAGGTGAAGCTTTCGTTGGACACCAGCAGCCGTAGGCCTGAGATCCAAACACAAGGTGCTGTGTGCCTTTGCAACACAAAGTGGTGCATTTCTGCTTCAAACTCACTCTCCTCCACCCCCCTGACCACCGTCTGGTAGGTGGATTTAAAGGATTTTTTTTTCAATTTTATTTCTGTTATTGTTGTCATTGCTGTTTTTGAGACAGGATCTTACTATTTTGTCCAGGCTTGTCTTGAACTCACTATGCAGCCCAGGCTCAAACTCACTATGATCCTCCTGCCTCAGCCTCCCAAGTGCTAGAATAAGAGGCATGCATCACCATGCTTGGCTTAATTTTATTTTTACTTTTGAAAGTTCTTTGGAATTTTCTCTTTTTTCTTTTTTTTTTTTTTGATACTGGGAATTGAACTCACAGCCTCACGCTTGCCAGGCAGGCGCTGTGCCGCTGAACTAAATCCCCAGCCCCTTGGAATTTTGTTTTCATTCATAGGCCATACAAAACTGAGATACAGAAGTGGACATGTTTAGAGAGTAGGATCAGAAAAGCAAGCCTGCCTGCAGCTCATCTCTCAGCCCCAGTGCGGCTGCCTAGAGGCAGCCATTGCTACCAGTACCCGGGCGCCCCTCGCAGACAGCCATGCACACAGCACACACGTGTGTTTTGATGTACACAACTGGCGCAGGCTGCGTCCGGCACCTTGTGTGTGTTCGTGTAGGATGGTAACTCGGAGACTGCTCCACACAACTCCAGACAGCTGTCTTATTCTTTTCAACCTCTCCCTAATGCACCCTAATCTAGTTAACCAGGAGCCTATTGACTGTCAAAATGCGTTCTACAAGGTTTAAAAAGACAGCTGGGGGGACGCCTGTAAGAAAATCTGCTTGGCTGGGGTGGCAGATGCATCGCTGTCACTTAGCACACATTCAACTTGACAAGCTTAGACTTCAAAGGTTGGCGGGAGGGTGGGGCCAGGGGAATGCGCACCCCCCACCCTCAGCCACCCGAGGGCGCTCGGATGCCACCGAGGCCTGGACATAGTTGCCAGGTGCTAGATAAAGTCCCTCCGGTGCACATCAGAAACTGATTGTGCCGGGCGTGGTGGTGCAAGTCTGTAATCCCAGCACTTGGGAGGCTGAGGCAGGAGGATCGTTGCGAGTTCGAGACCAGCCTGGGCTACAAAGTGAGCTCAAGGCCAGCCTGGACTTCATAGCGAGACTCTGTCTCAAAAAGACCAAAAAAAGAGAGAAAGAAAAGAAACTGATTGTGACCAGGACACCCGGTTCCCAGGGCCCAGGATATCCGAAATGAGGGTAGGAGCAGAAAACCTGGTTTCCAAGGCTGCGGGACTAAACACGGCCCTGCAGACCACACATTCGTCAGGTGACAGCAACGCGGTGGCCCATCTCCGCGGGGGCCCTTTGTCCGCTAGCAAAACCACCTCCTGGGATCGCTGGCAGACGCGTGGCCTGGAGACCCAGTGGAGACGGCTCCCTCGTGCGTCACCCCTGCCACGTATGCGCAGCTGTCGCCACTGGTAACCCGGGCCCTTTCTGCCCCGCAGCCCTGCCTGCTCCTGCACCCCCAGGCCCCTCCCTCCTCTACGCTCTGGGCTCTGCTGTCCTGGCTGTCCCTGGGGAGCCTCAGCACCCCCATGCGTCTCTTCCCTTCAGAGCTCTCTGTCCCTCTGGCCTCAGCAGAAGTTGCCGTTGTGAGTAATTTGTCCGACAACGGCAAGGCGTGGTTTCCCAGCCTGCGGGCAAATCTGCACACTCATCCTGGCTTGAACTAACAGTAAGGCTACCACTCTGGAGGCGAATTCGCGGTGTCCATTAACATTTAAAGTGCGCGGACCCTGCACTCTGGCAATTAGCGATCTCTCAGCATCACCGCCAGTGCGATCTAAGATGCACAAGGGTGGAGGATCGACGCAGAGGGGAAGGGCCACCGAAGCAACTGAGGTGGCAGGTGCTAGGGGGCTTGGACATAATCTGATGACAGAATACAAAGCGGTCACCAAAAAAATAAGGTAGTAACCGGGCGTGGTGGTGCACGCCTGT